ATTGTATTATTTGAACACGGTAGGTATATAATATTATTATTGGGTATGAACTAAACAAAAGTAACACACGATATTATGGTCTTGCAAGTCGTAACTGCAAAAATCGTCGTTTAAAACGTAGCGAACGTAGGCGTTTAAGTCTATGTCCGGATATGAACAAGGCAAGCGGAAATAAAAATGTCGTATTAATATTGAACACGAAACGCGTAAAGGTGGAAATGGCGTGTATAATAATATAGTAATAAACAATATCGTGTGTACGGAAACGCATCGTACACGAATGAAAGAAGATGAATCCAGCTCGTGTACGTACAACGTCATGAATAAGCCAGTAGGTACGCGGGCCATACAAACGTTATACTATTAATTATTATTATGTATTTCAAAATTGTACTCACCGGTTTTGAAAAGCGCCCTACGCAGAACACGATACGCCAAGAAAATCTAAGAAAGCTAAAAGCCTAATAATTAAATAATATATTATATATTATAAATATGATTTTCTGTGCGCTTCGGTTGTGCGTTCCACGGGCGTTCGTCACAAGATGACGTTCGAAAACGCAGGCACGTTTCGCGTCGCAAAAGTTGACCCCTGCACGTCACCACTCCGCCCACCGGTCCGTATCATCAATTAAAAATGGTCATACTGTAGCATTCCAGTGTGTATCGTTGATATTGACATAGAACAATACATTGAAGAGACGTTCGTAATTACTAATTATCATGGTAATTATTAACCGTCCGACTCGCATAAATAATCGTACGTCTCAAGCATATTATTGTATATTATGTACATAATAATAATTATATCTTATATATATTATATTATATGTGTAATACTTCATTATAATATTATATGTAGGTATGTACAGTACAATTCAGTGGCGTGTAACACGGGGTCCAAGTAATTTTTTTTTTATGATACACACCACTACAGTACATACAGACCGAATCGAACGTCTTTTATAATAAATCAAACCACAGAACTGCGTTCACTTTAAGCAATATCCGTTAGTTTATCTTTATTTATACTTTTAGACCAATAGACTATTCTTATAGTACATAAGTACATGCATACATCTATAAAGTACATATAAGTCATTAGTTTATTTATATTGTATTAGAAACATTAATATATAACCTCAACCGATCTAGTAACCTAAAAACTGTAATATATTAAGTAGGCCCTACATAGTATACAATATGTAGGTTAGTTATTAATTTGATTTGATGCTCATGATTAAACCTACCTATAGTATAGTCGACTCGACTCGAGCTAGGATATTTTATTATTTATACATTTATATTTATTATAATATACACGTCTAGTACCTACCTACAGCTGGCCGATGTATATTTCTGCCAAATCAAATACATGAATACCGATATAACAATATAAGGAAGCTACGGCGCGACCGAGTGAGCAAAAGGCGGTCAAATATAATATAATAATGTCAATAATGACGCATTATCGAATGTCTATAGTAATAACGACACTGTCCGCCCAATTTATGCCTGTATATAGTGATACCTACCAAGACGTGTGAAAAAGGGGTTGGAGGCGACTCGTATTTAACCTCGTATTTAGCGGGGAGGTCCGACGTCTGAAAAATGGGTAAAACTCGAATTTTTAAAAAAAACCGGAACATTTTCGTTAAATACGATAAGGCGGAAATGATAGTGAAAGGTAAATGCCGAAAAAAAAAACGCGAAAAAAGAAGTTCGATTTATCACGGCTGCCGCAAATTACCGATATTCCCGGAGGTCGGGATCGAAACCACCTATTCTAACGCCTATACTACCTAGCCACCTACTGAGATGAAAACCTGAGTCTAATCTATGACTCTTAAGCCGCGTCGCCGTCCCCGCCAAAGCCAAACGCGGTATTGCAAGTCCGCAAAGGGCTTTCGAGCTGGCTATCCGACCGCGTTGGCGAGCGTACGACCGGCTCCGCCGCCTTCGGACGTTCAAAACGCGATATTCGCGAAGAAAATCGAACGTCGAGACGCATGTATTTATGCCTGTATATAGCGGTACCTACTCGACGGCGGCGCCGCGGGCCGTCGGCTTTGAGCGACGCCGCTCCTCCCCGGGACTCCATCATAAAAAAGAAGGGCCACACGCTCGCACGCCGACTATAAATTTAGTAAACGCGAACAAGTCTACGATGGGGGTAAAACTCGAATTTTCGAAAAAAACGGCAAATGGAGAAGTCATATAGCCGTACTATTTTGTAATATAGTTTGATAATATTGTATTAAACACTATTTATTTAGTATTATTTAGCAGTATTTAACCAAATCGGAATCACATAAAAACTGTAATATATCAAGTAGGTATATCAAGAAACATATAGGTGCGTCGGTCACGGTAAAATCAAGTAAATGTTAATAATTATTATTATTATTATTTAATATATTAATTTATTATATATTAATATTTTTTTGCCCAATAAATATCGTCAAACGAACAATAATATATATAAATACCGATACATATAATATAATAACGCAAACTTTGAAAAAAAACTTAACACTCGTTAAAAATGATAAATGCGACGAAAAAAAAAAACGCGAGAAAAAGGAAACCGATTTACCACGGCCGCCGCAAACTATCGAAAATTCCGGGCGACGGATTCGAAACCACGACCCTCGAGTCACCTGTCCTAACGCCTAACCAACCTAGCCACCTATTGAGATGAAAACCGGAGTCAAATCTATGACTCTTAAGCAGCGTCGCCGTGCACGCGAAAGGCGAACGCCGTTTGGACGGCCGTCAAAGGGTGATGGGCGGGCGATCCGACCGCTTCGGCGAGCGGACGACCGGCTCCGCCGCCCTCGGACGTATAATACGCGAGCTTCGCGAAAAAAATCGAACATCGAGACGCATGTATTTATGCCTGTATATAGCGGTACCTACTCGATACCTACTCGGTACCTACTCACGTTTCCGCTCACGTTTAACCTCCCCTGGACTCGTTTTTGAAAAAGTAAGGACGCGCGCCGGCTATAAATTTAGCGAGGAACTCGAATACGTCGCCGACGGGGAGGTCGGGAGACTCGTAGAGGGGCCAAACGCGACTCTAGTCGAAAAAGTCGAGAAAACCGTCGAAACGGCGAAGACGCGGCGCTCTTGGCGATCGATTCGTCCGCCGGGATACTCGTTTTTGAAAAAATATGGCAGCGCGCCGACTATAAATTTGGGGGGGAACGCGAATAAGATCCAAACGGGGAGGTCGATACCCCCTAAAACGCCTAAAACTCGAATTTTCGAAAAAAAACGGCAAAAAGCGCGGGCGACGGAAGCGCTCGGTTCGCACGTGATATCCGCCGCGGAGGGCCCGCAGAGAAAAGAGTACGGCGTACTCGTAATAGTAAATCTAGCGGGGAACGCGAATAAGGTCCGAACGGGACCGCCCGAGGCCCCCGGGAGGGGTAAAACACGAAAAATTTGAAAAAAAATCGTGGATTTCGAGAAAAATCGTGAAAAGCGATAAGGAGGAGTGATAACGCAGCGACGGCTCCGCCGCCGCCGGGAGACCGCCCTCCGGGGAAATTGAATTTTCTCATTGGCTCTCTCTTACGATGGTTCGGATTTAACGCATAGGGAGCGCCACACGGGTTTTCGTTTTATATAGTAAGACTAGATTCCGGTGTTTGTCATCCCGCCTACGGCGGAAAGACTGTGTGGGCGGTGGTGCATCTTTGTCGGCGATGCTGGGTTTTTTGATCCAGCCTGCGGCGGGAATGGGAGATCGTCGGTTATTGTGTTTTGTCGTGTTGGCAGCACTGGTTAAGCGGTAATTTTTGAACTCGGAAGAGTGTCTAGTCGTAAGTCACGCGATTCAAGTCGATCGTACGACACAGTCAGCCAGGTAGGCAATCCGACTACGTCGGATCGCAGACCATGCACCGGTCGGGTATGTCCGGTTCTGGTGTGTGTGTGTTGAAATCGGAAATTCGGATTCTGGGTTTGAGTGTCTAGCTATCAGTCATCTCGGGTAAAAGTCGATTCCCGAGTGTCGGATGCAGTGGGGGACACTGGGGGTGTAAGTCGCTCGTATGCAAGTAGCTAGTCAGGTAGGCAATCCGACTACGTCGGATCGCAGACCATGCACCGGGCGTGTATGTCCGGTTCTCGTATGTGTGTTGAAATCGGAAATTCGGATTCTGAGTTTGAGTATCTAGCTATCAGTCATCTCGGGTGAAAGTCGATTCCCGAGTGTCAGATGCAGTGGGGGTGTAAGTCGCTCGTATGCAAGTAGCTAGTCAGGTAGGCAATCCGACTACGTCGGATCGCAGACCATGCACTGGGCGTGTGTGTCCGGTTCTCGTATGTGTGTTGAAATCGGAAATTCGGATTCTGGGTTTGAGTGTCTAGCTATCAGTCATCTCGGGTAAAAGTCGATTCCCGAGTGTCGGATGCAGTGGGGGCACTGGGGGTGTAGTCGCTCGTATGCAAGTAGCTAGTCAGGTAGGCAATCCGACTACGTCGGATCGCAGACCATGCACCGGGCGTGTATGTCCGGTTCTCGTATGTGTGTTGAAATCGGAAATTCGGATTCTCAGTTTGAGTATCTAGCTATCAGTCATCTCGGGTGAAAGTCGATTCCCGAGTGTCAGATGCAGTGGGGGTGTAAGTCGCTCGTATGCAAGTAGCTAGTCAGGTAGGCAATCCGACTACGTCGGATCGCAGACCATGCACCGGGCGGCATATTAACATACCATACATTGCTACACGACCGGTCGTTTCTGATTGGCTCATTTCAAATAGCCCGCTTTAAATTTTAATATAATCATTATCATATTATCGCGTTATCAATCATAATATTGTATCACATACACGGTTTAAGATAAAGATATTGTAATTGTACATTTTTTTTAATAATTTAACATTTTCGGACTTAAATTATACCCTTTTTATTTTTTTAAAAGACATGTAACATAATTAGGTACCTTATACCTAATATAGAATGAAAATAAAAATATATTTTAAATGTATTAATGACCACGTCCAAGGGATTTTGCATTTGGTAAGTTAGCGTTTACATTACTGCCAAGATTTCTTTTCCTTTTTTTTATACCAGATTCACATTTAGCTGGTCGACCTGATGGTAAACTTTTACTTCCTCTTGTAATATTTTGTGACCGCCTAGCAATAGAAGTCGGTTGGACAGACATTTTTGCACCAGATCTCTTTCGTAATGGTACCGATACATTTCCAGCTGTATGCAAGAATGTCTCCCATTGTCCTTCACTTGTAATTTTTTTTAATCGTGCTTCAAGAGTTTGTATTCCAGAAGAAGATGAACCATACTTTGTGTCATTAAATTTCATTAATTTTAGTATATTCTGAATAGCATTACAAGTTTCTTTATTTGTGTCGGCCTCTACTATCTCGTGGCTTAAAGAAGATTGCATTTTATCTATTTAATTTAATTTATGGACATATTCAGAATTTTTATTTTTCTCAACTTATATTCTTTCATCATCAGGGATCACTACAGTCTGAGCAATATTATAGTTCTCTACATAAAATGGTTGAAAAAAATCAATTTTTAGAGATTTATCTCCTGATGCTAGCATAGCAATTTCATGTCTATCTTGAGGAGTAACAGGAGGGAAATTGTTTGACATTTCATCATAATGTATATATACTGCACATTGATGTTTGCAAAATTTACCATACTTCCCAATTGAACATGAACAACAACCAGCTTCTAAATTAACATCATAAGTACTTAAGGATTTTTTCACTTGGAACAATATAATATTTTGTGCGCTATGAATAATTTGATTTTTTTTCACATAATTTGCCTTCTTAATTAATGTGTCCAAGAAAATTCTTGCTTCTCTATTTTTTGGATTTCTACAATTGGCAAATGTCATTAGTCGCCTACCGTAATGTTCTTCCAACACAGTGCAAGTGAAATCTAATAATGCAATAACATTATAGGCTTTAACTCTTGAGAGTACTGTATCCTTAAATATGCGTACTGTAATCTCAGAGTAATTGTTTGTATGATGAGCTCTATTAGACTCATTCCTCCAAGCCAAACACCATTTTTGACGACCATCAAATTGGTCTGTAATGTATTTAGTCCATTTTGGATATTCTGAACTGTTTATGGCACTATTAAAATTATATTCAGCAAGTTTTACTGTATCTGCATACAAAATATTTTGAAAATGTTTCATTAATATTGGTCGCTTATTTTGAGGAATATTATTTTTGGAATCCCAAAGCCAACGCCAAACTGCCTGACAAACATGAAATATACATAAAAGTGATCACTTCAGGCCAAGTATTTTAATTGCATTTATTTCTGCTTGAGCATTATCAGTAACAAAAATTTTAGGCCAGGCTATGCCACCAAAACATTTTAAACCACACTCTCTAAGCAAATTAAATCCCGTACTATATGCTAAAAAAGATTGACCTGTATAAATAAAATAAATTGATAACAAAATGTATTAAAAAAATTTTCAACACTATATATTTAAACAAGAAAATTGATTAGTACAATTTATTTACCTTTTGTAATTATAATTGCTAATGGTACCGCTCCTGCTGCACATGGAGTTAATATAAAGGTTATTGATGGTTTCAGCGTCACATGCACTAGTGCTATCAACAATACTATACCACTTTGAAGATTTTAATTCATGAGCTCTTTGCATAAGAGGAGTAACAATAAGAAGAGCAAATGGATCTTCAACAAATTTGACAATTACATTTTGTTCTGAATATATATTCAATTTTTCTTTTAATTTCTAAGAAATAATAATGCAAATAGAATCAAACAATGAATTATATTAATATATTATTGCATAGGTATTGATAATAGTCACCCTATTTGACCTACTTCAATCATTCCAATTCCAGAACGTGGACCCAAGTTCTTAATTCTCCATTCATCATGCCAATACTGAACTGTTCTATATGTTGGATTAATAGCTCCATTTGCTAAGTCTTCCAATGAAAAATTATCTTTTAACTCCAAAATATCCTCATGATACTTAAGAGCTTCAGAAATTCCCATATTGGAACTGAAGTACTCAAAAAATGTATTTTTTAATTTTAAGTCTGCTGGTATAAATCTTAAAGTTTCAGCAGTATCTAAACTATGGGTGTGTTTATTATTTATAGTTATAATTCCACGAAGTCCATTCTAGAAAATAAATTATTTTAAAATTTGTGATTTTTATAAACTATTAAGCAAATTTATTACATACTTAAATATTTTAGATTCTGAGCGGTGAGATGAAGCTAGTAGTTTTACAATGATGTTTATTTTTTTATTTTTTTTTTATTCTGTAAACAAGAAGGAGTGCTTCGATTTCCATATACAAAAAAAAATACACACACATTGTAAGTCAACACATTCATTGCTCCGCTCAGAATCTAAAAATTAACTTTATAAAATAAAAAATAAATATATTTACAGATAAATGTTGTATTATTTTATAATTTATACTACCTATAAAAAAATTTATAATTTAATCAAATTATAGACGTTATTTAAAAATATGAGGGTTTCCATAGATATCTGTTGCTTAATTTTTTTATTACAGTTCTTAGTAAAAGGTACAGGCATTTACTCTTTAAACTTTAGGTTATTAGTTAATTTTACATAACAGATTACACTAATTAACAAAATCTTTACACTTAAAAAAATAAAGAGTGTGTGAGGTTAACCACCGTTACACTCTTGGGAAGTAAAACTTCTTTCATAAGTATTAGTGCTCATGAATTAGGGAGAGTGAGAAAAATCAATACAAAAAAAAAAACACATGGTTATATAATATATACTACATTTGTTTTAGGTAAAGGTCGAGATTCATCTCGATTTAGTTTTGATTTTTTTGTAACTCCATATTCACATTCCTCGGCTTTCTTTTTACTAATAGTGTATTCTGAAATATTGAAATATGTTCATAATCAGTAATCGTTATATATATATATATATACAAAAAAAAAATGTATATATATATATATATATATATATATAACCGTTAAACAAATTTTTGTAACAACTATCACTATAGAAACTGACGTACACAAAATACTTATATATATATATGCGTTTCATTTTTTGTGACAATTTTTTTTCATCTAGACCACAAGGCACAAAAAAGAAGTTTTACTTAAAAAAAAAAACGCTACTTTATTTGTTGACAAACTTATAATAAAAAAAAAACTCAAACTCATACTCACCTTTATTAAAGTGTCTGATTTTCTAGTTGCTAACGTATCAAGCTTTATAACACAAGTAATAGTTGCAGAACAGTTAGCATTTTTAGAATTACCTTTTTTATTTTCTTCCCTAGACACTTTTTGGAAAGTACTATGATGACAAACAAATTTTTTTCTAAAAAAAATAAATAATAGGTAGATATTGTATAAGTAGAGTATATTTAATATTACTATAAGCAAACGTATGAGTAGGTACATGGAACAAATTTCAATTTAATTTTTCAAAGATATTTAATCACGATCCTTATGGACATTTACAAGCCCAGTATTTAATATTCAATATCAAAACATTTTACTTATCCCTATAATGTTGAAATATATTACCTAATTGGGATACTTTTATTAAATTCATTAAAATATGTACCTATAGACTATAGGTAGGTAATTATATTGTATTTTAGTAACGCAGAAACTACTCATTTTAATGTTGATTTATTTAGATACAATTTCAATTATCTATCTTCTGAATAATTTAAAGTAAATATTTTGTTTCTATTTTAATTTTCCTCATTTAAAAACAGATTTGTGTCACCACAGAATGGTTCCTCTTAAAGTGTAACAAAAAATCTAAGGTACCTATTCAAAATTATTGTCTTTAGACTTTGAAGATATTTAAAAATTACAAAATCAGATGTTTGAATAAATGAATTATTGATAAAAAATATGTGGATATGCTTTCTGAATTTTCCTCACATATTGACTAAAATAAAGGTACAGGGGAAAAAAATGTTGTAAAACAAAAAAAAATTAAACTTGTTGACTGATTTTATTAGGTACTCTTAAAAATCTTATGAATCTATAATTAATAATACATCTAAATAATCTAATAACATTCTACATATTTTGAAATAATTAAGGTGGATTTATACAAATTCACCTTGGCAATAATATGATATTCAATCAATTATGTACATTTTCACATTATCTATGTTATTATAATATTAGTTAAATTATATAATAATAATTTTGAACAATATTAGAATTCTATGAATTATAAACACAAGTTACAAAGTATTATAATGCTGATATTTTAATACAATAAATAAGGCAATAGATAGGTTAAGTTAAAACTAATTTAATATTTCAAATAACTAATAAATTACCTACTTAGATTATTACCTAACAATTAACATAATACTTAATAGATAAAATATATATGTACTAAAAGTGTAAAATCTTATTTAAATTCAAGTATAACAAAGTTCATATAACATATTATTATAATATCCTCATGCTATATAAAGGTGGGCAAGCTAATAACAAAAACATAACTTTAATTGGTTAAATATTAGGTCAACTTTTAGATTGTAACCATACCTAATAGTTAACATTAGATATATTTAACATTTTAACTAGGCACTATAAAAGTTTAAAGCTAATATGAAAAAAAATAACTTAACTCAGTTAAACAGAAGTTAATTAGTTTTTAATTAACACATATTATGTCACATATATAGTGATAGTGAAACTTTAAAATTTTTTAAAAATATAATGACTAAATATTTTGTTTTCTCAGATAAAAAAAAATCTAATATTCCGTCTTCTGACACACTAGCAGTAGTGATTTAATTAATTAGTTTTAACAGTTGCAGTTTTATATACCTACCTATAAGTAAAGGGTTAATCTATTGTCAAAGATAGAAATATAAACAATTAAAATGTTTATGTATATGTGATAGGCCATCAATTATAAAATATAGATAATAAAATAAAATAAATTAACTTTTTAACTTGTTAATGCCCACCTTTAACATAAGTATTGTTGTTCAACTTCCAACCCTGTACTGGGTACCCACATTCATTGTATAATAATCATGTATAAAAAAATTTTAAATACAATGTATAATTAACAGACACAATAGATATTAACAAAATGTTTGGAAATATAGCAGAGGTAATAATCTATCAATTTTTAAAATATTTTTATGTTAAAACTAGAAAACATTTACAATACCTATTAATAGTATAATAAACAATATTTAATATAATGCTACTATACTTTATAATATGTACTTATAATGAAATAAATGACTTTAAAAGGAAGGTACTAACGAACAAGTAATTTTTTTTCCATTTGGCATAGACGATCTTGAGTTCCATTTTAAATGGTTAATTTTTCCAAATTCAGCAACCCAATTATTACAATCATCTAAATTTGTTAAACTTGATCTACATTTTATAAAGTTTTCACTTTTTTCTATAATAACATTAGAGTAATTCGTTGGTAAAATCATGTTAACTTGCCACCTTGGTTTAACTTGACTATACTTAAATAAAGTAAACTTTACTTTATCAAGAGGTGAATTTCAACTTTCAATATTCAATTCTATGATTAATATTCTATTTCTATGTCTCTATGATATAATTATTCTATGATAATATTTAAATATTATAAGCAAATAATATGATAATGATTATATTAAAATTTAAAGCGGGCTATTTGAAATGAGCCAATCAGAAACGACCGGTCGTGTAGCAATGTATGGTATGTTAATATGCCACCGGGCGTGTGTGTCCGGTTCTCGTATGTGTGTTGAAATCGGAAATTCGGGTTCTCTGAGTTTGAGTGTCTAGCTATCAGTCATCTCGGGTGAAAGTCGATTCCCGAACGGACAATCCACCTGCGGCGGATCGGATGCAGTGGGGGTGTACGTCGCTCGTATGCAAGTAGCTAGTCAGGTAGGCAATCCGACTACGTCGGATCGCAGACCATGCACCGGGCGTGTATGTCCGGTTCTGGAGTGTGTGGGTTGAAATCGGAAATTCGGATTCTGAGTTTGAGTGTCTAGTTATCAGTCATCTCGGGTGAAATCCGATTCCCGAACGGACAATCCGCCTACAGCGAAAAGTGCTCGAAACGGCCGTTCAAATATGAAAAAGTATACAGGAGGTAATAAAATTGTATTTGTTGATAATCATAGAGAACAGTTATCGGGTGTTTTATGTTAGGCTTCACTGTAATCAATGTAATCATTGTTATGTTTTCGCGGTTATAACAAATAAGTCGACAAAATCTAATTTTCTGATTGGATATTTTCTAAAATATACCTACCATGTATATTTATTTAATTATGAGAATTAAGTCAAATTAACAAATAGATAATTATATTGGTGAATAACAAATTTTATTGAAATGTACTACTATCCTATTAAACGTAGGTGTCTATAAATGAATACACTACACATACTCTCGTTTCCGACACACTACTCCCCCCCGGGACTCGAATTTTCGAAAAAAACGGCAAATGAAGCAGTCATATTACAGTCGTACTATTTTTTAATATAGTATTTATAATCTGTAGCAGTATTTAACCAAATCGGAATCACGTAAAAACTGTAATATATCAAGTAGGTACTACACGTAGGTTAGTTATATTATAATGTATTATTAAAAGAAACATGTAGGTGCGTCGGTAAATGTTAATAATTTTTTTGCCCAATAAATATCGTCGAACGAATAATAATAATATATATAATATAATAATGCAAATTAAAAAAAAAATTAACACTTTCGTTAAAAATGATAAATGTGACGAAAAAAAAAACGCAAAAAAAAGAAATTCGATTTAACACGGCCCCGCCGGCGTTCGAAACCACGACCGTCGAATCACCCGTTTTAACGCCTAACCTACCTAGCCACCTACCGAGATGAAATTAGGAGCCAAATCTATGACTCTTAAGGGCGTTTGAGCGGACCACCATGTCCGCCACCTTCGGACGTTCAAGACGCGAGATTTGCGAAAAAAATCGATCCTCGAGGCGCATGTATATATGTATGTGAATAGCGATACCTACACGGTACCTACTCTCGTTTCCGAAACACTACTCCATCGCGGGACTCGAATTTTCGAAAAAAACGGCAAATGAAGCAGTCATTACTATTTTTATAATCTGTAGCAGTATTTAACCAAATCGGAATCACCTAAAAACTGTAATATATCAAGTAGGTACTACACGTAGGTTAGTTATACGTTATTATAATGTGTTAATAAAAGAAACATGTAGGTGCGTCGGTAAAATCAAGTATTAATTAAATGTTAATTTTAATTATTTTTTTGCCCAATAAATATCGTCAAACGAATAATAATAATATATATAATATAATAATGCAAATTTAAAAAAAAAATTAACACTTTCGTTAAAAATGATAAATGTGACGAAAAAAAAAAAAACTCGAAAAAAAAACTTTCAAATTATCACGGATGGCGCAAATTATCGAAAATCCCAGAGGCCGGGTTCGAACCCACGACCCTCGAGTCACCTATCCTAACGCCTAACCAACCTAGCCACCTACTCAGATGAAAATCCAAGTCAATTCTATGACTCTTAAGCCGCGTCGCCGTGATCGCGAAAGGCGAACGCCGTTTGGACGGCCGTCAAAGGAGCGTTTGAGCGGGCGATCCGACAGCGTCGGCGAGCGGACGACCGGCTCCGCCGCCCTCGGACGTATAATACCCGAGCTTTGCGAAAAAAATCGAACCTCGAGACGCACGTATTTATGCCTGTATATAGCGGTACCTACTCGATACCCAATCGGTACCTACTCTCGTTTAAGCGACGTTGCTCCTCCCCGGGACTCGTTTTTGAAAAAGTAGGTAAGCGAGCCGGCTATAAATTTAGCGTGGAACTCGAATACGTCGACGACGGGGAGGTCGGACGTCTCGTAGAGGTGCTAAACGCGACTCTAGTCGAAAAAGTCGAGAAAACCGTCGAAACGGCGACGACGCGGCGCTCTCGGCGATCGCCTCGTCCGCCGGGGGACTCGTTTTTGAAAAAGTAGGGCCACGTTTCGACGTTAAATTTAGCGGGGAACGCGAATAAGATCCAAACGGGGAGGTCGATGCGCCCTAAAACGCCTAAAACTCGAATTTTCGAAAAAAAATGCAAAAAACGCGCGCGACGGCGGCGCTCGTATCGCACGCGACATCCGCCGCCGCGGGCCCGCCGGGAAAAAAGTAGGGCCGCGCGCCGACTATAAATTTACCGAAGAATGCGAATAAGGTCCGAACGGTGCCCCCCGAGGTGGGTAAAACTCGAAAAGTTTGAAAAAAAATCGTGTAAATAGGTCGAAACCGCGAAAAGCGATAAGGATTAGTGATAACGCTCCGCCGCCGCGTTTTCGCTCCATTTTCGTCTATAGCAGTTCGGATTTACTCCACAAGCTGCGCCCTCGGGTTCACGCTTTATAGTATAAGACTAGCTCTCCGAGCGTCGCTGGGGGATACCCCCAGACCCCCGGGTGTCGGTCATGAGTGTTTTCGATTTCGGAAGATGCAGTGGTCTGTTGGTCTGGTCGTCAGTCTCGAGCTGGTCGGTGTGTGATAAGGAACTCTGATAAGGTTAGGTCCACCGTGGTTTGGCGTGGTAGCCCCCCCGGTAAGCAACAACGTTCGACGACAACGTTCTTTACTGCCGCCGGAAATTCAAAATTCCGTAAAAAAATTATAAATCGTCGTTGTATTTTTGTGGGTGTCTAGCAGGTCAGTCACCTCGAATGACGTTCGCCGTAGTAATAGTATTTGGGGTCTAGCGGGTCAGTCACTTTCCTCGACTTTGGTCGTAGTCACCCTGGAAGTCAATCCGACAATACTCGACGGCTGGGGAACGTCATCACGTATGCAATCCGACTGCGTCGAATCGCGGACGACGTTCATTACTGTTACCGAAAAAGCAAAAAAAGTAATAAATTACTTGAAAAGTATTTAAAAAATTTCGGACGTCCATGCAAATCATATAGCCGCCGTCGCCAGTCGCCAGTCGCCAGTCTCGAGCTGGACGGTTAATGGGTGGTATGAAGGTCTAGTGATAAGGATTTGTGGTACAAATTAGTGATGAGGAAACTGGATTTGTGATAAGGATAGTGGATTATTGATAAGGATTGTAGATAAGTGATAAGCATGGTGGATTTGTGATAACAATTTATGATAAGGATATTGGATTTGTGATAAGAAAAGTGGATGTGTGATAAGGATGGAGGATTCGTGATAAGGATAGTGGTTTAGTTAACCGGATACCTGTCAAAGTCTTTTCTTGGGGGTCTAGCATGTCAGTCACCTTCCTCGATGTTGGACGTAGTCACCCGGGTAGACAACGTGACAACCGATTCGATGCATCGGTTATATAATTTATGTGAAAACATGTTTTGGGGTCTAGCAGGTCAGTCACCTTCCTCTACGTTGGTCGTAGTCACCTTGGTAAATATGCGATTGCTGATGAACATCATCAAGTATCACAGCGTTGTTACATGTGGCCCTTCAGGGATCCAAAAGCTGGTGTACTTTGATAAATAATAATAGTCAATTAGTATGATAATCAAATGTATTATATTAAACCAGACAAAACAAGCAGAATAATAGTGTTGATTGTAGCGAATTGTAGCTCGTTCCGAAGTTGATAATCTCCGTGTAAGTTGTGTGTGATGGCTGGGCGGCTAAGCGAGTCGTGTGTTGTTCTCGTCTCTGGATACATCTAATTTGTATTGAGGCCCTAGCCTCTATATATACGAATATACGAAGGCGACGCCCTTTGAATTGAGCGGCGCGTGGCATGTAGGCGCCCTTGGGAAGTTGTTGTGATCCGAAGCGTCTATTCTAGCTACGACCACTTTTGGGTGTGGTCGACGAGGCCGCTTTCTACATAAGTAGTACTTGTTATTGTGAGCGTTGTACATGAATTGCGTAATCCCATTACAGCGTCCATTACTGTTAACGAAAATGCAAAATTAAAGAATAAATTACGTGAAAAAAAATTGTTATCCGGGTAGGCAATCCGACTCGATGTGAGACGTAGTCACGGTAGACAACGTGACGACGTGTGACGGCCGGTTCGATTGTATTGGGTGTAAAATTCACGTGAAAATATGTTTTGGGGTCTAGCAGGTCAGTCACCTTCCTCTACGTAGGTCGTAGTCACCCTGGTAGGCAATCCGAATCGATGTGAGACGTAGTCACCTGGTAGACAACGTGACGACGTGTGACAGCCGGTTCGAGGATTGGGTGTATAATTTACGTGAAAATATGTTTTGGAGTCTAGCAGGTCAGTCACCTTCCTCTACGTAGGTCGTAGTCACCCTGGTAGGCAATCCGAATCGATGTGAGACGTAGTCACCTGGTAGACAACGTGACGACGTGTGACAGCCGGTTCGAGGATTGGGTGTATAATTTACGTTAAAATATGTTTTGGAGTCTAGCAGGTCAGTCACCTTCCTCTACGTAGGTCGTAGTCACCCTGGTAG